AAGAGCCCCTTGAGTCCTTTGGCTTCACCTTGTTTGATCCATTCGGCATATTGCAGACTGGTCTCATCTCGGCTTTGTTGTTGTGCTGCTTCAAGTTGATGTTGCACCGTCTGCTGCAGGAGCTCAAAGGTGCGATCGTCCTTGAACTGCACCCAATGGTGGTGGGTGTCAAGAAACTGGCCCCAAGTCTGGTCCCCTAGCCAGTGGTGTTGGACTCGCTGGAGGGCTTTGTTGAGCCCGTGGATGGCGCCGGTGGCTTTGGCGGGCTGGTGTTGGATCAAGTTTAGTCTGGCTTGGATCTGCTCCCAGTAGGCCGCCTTGCCTTTCTTCCAAAGACCGCCGGCTTTGGCCGGGACCAGGGCTAGGTGCTGAGTGATCAGGTTAGAGCCTCGGCCCTGTGGTGCCCAGGGGTGCTGTTGCAGTAGATATTGTTCGGTGATGGATGTCCAATCTGCAAGAGTTTGGGCACCTGGGTTTGGCCTGCTGTCGTACAACTGTAGCTGTTCGACTTGGGACACATAGGTGCTCCAGGCGCGGAAGCCAATGTCGGGCACATTGGGCAGTGGAGGGAAAGTCCGGATTTGGTTGTAAAGCCGGAAGTCGTCCCCAAGTTCCAGGGCGTAGGTGAGTAGGCAGTGCGGCCGCCAGGGAACAGCCCATTCTGTGGTCATGGAGGTGCAAGCTGCCAGGGTTTGCTGAATAATGGCATAGTCAACCGTATTGCCATTGAGCAGGGTGGCATCGGGGGCAAGGATTTGCCAGTGGAATTTGGAGTCAAGGACTGTTCCTTGGAATTGCTCTGGGTGGTTATTCCAGTCGCCAAGCAAGATGAACTGCCGGGTGGATGCATCTAGAAGTGCTAGAATGCGGGCCAGTATTTGGGCATTCGTCGTGCCTTGGAGCGACTCATTGGTTTTGAGGTAGACGGCAATGACATGTATGTATGTATGTATGCATTTAGACATACATACAGTTGCTTTGCTTGCTCTGAGACGGGTAGATGCTGTTGAAATTTAGTCAGGCAGTCAGGCGCATGTTTGCTTTGTTTTTCTCCCCACCGTCAGGCGCAGAAGTCCCTCGAGACACTGATCATGACAGTGCGTGACGAAGGATCTCCATCCTGGCAATTTGCCCAAGTACTGAAGAGCCATGCCTGAAAAATTGCACATCCAGTAAACACAAAGAACTACACCCAAGCCGCAACATGCTGCTATGCTGACCTCATTGTTGAATTGAAGACATTGTTTGTCTTAGGTGAACAAATCAGTTTTCCATGCATACACGCTAAACAGCGTTTGAGCTAAGGAGAAGAAGACGCAATTTGTGTCACCCTCGGACCTTCACGCCCGCAACACACGAAAGCAGCGCATGGTTTGCAGGTTGAGGGCCTGGCGATTGGATTTGGACCTCGACGACAACGGAACAGTGACCTTTGTGGAGTTTTCGCTGCTCGCCCCAACGCAAGAGCAAGTCGCAAAGTCTCTAACAAGAATAAGATTTAGCTTAAAACTGCCACAAGTCGTTGTTTGACTGGCAAAGAGGTCCGTTTTTCTAGCGTCCGAGGAATCAATGTCGACGGCTCGGGTTTCAGGGCAGAGTCCGTCAGATCTGGACATCGCTGCGGCCGCTGGATGACAGAGCCCTGGAGCGGCTTGGTATCGGGAAGATACATGTGGATTGGGCCCCAAAAATCTCATCATTGGAGGCCAGTACTACTAGTAACAAGAAGCTACTAGGTTGGAGGCCATCGCTATTAGTAACAAGAAGCTACTAGGTTGGGAATCATTGGTTAGGATATTTTGTCAGCCCATGTGGACAAGTCGCCGCGCTTCTGAAAATGGTGTCAGGTTTGCTGAGCTAGCTCCGGATGAATCCGAGCATGTTGAGAAATTTGCGGACCTCATTTGGAATGCTCCTTACCTGCAAGGGGAGTCTTTCTTGATGTGAGAAATGGCATACCAGTCCTGAGGTCTCTGGATATGACCTAGACAAGGCAGAGCTGCATTCATCAGTCGCCACAATTGATGCATCCACCGTTGCCAGGCATGGGGATTGTTCGACTACGACAAGAAGAACAAGCTAACCAAGGTGCGCTGATGCAACCATGGTCACGCATGGGAAGCACTGCGAACGCAGGCAGATTTTGTCCAAAGTGCGGAGCATTTGGGCTTCACAGGAAATGCAGCCTGGAGCCTACAAATAGACCAATCAATTTGCAGCAGCATGAAGGCATTTGCTATGCTAGCTCCGGTTTGTACATCAGAATGGGTTTGCCGGCTGTGCGTTTGTGAAAGCTTTGGTCAGTGTGGCATGATGTGCCTTCCTACACCTGATCATCATAGTCAATTATGTCACTGTTTGTTCTTGCTCCGCCGCTTGTAGCATGCAACGCTGAGGAGATGATTTTTCAAGGCCTGGACCGTGAGGGTTTGGGTGTGGAACCCTGGCTCGGGATCAAATACGCACAGCATTGCAGCGGTTTCGTGACGCAACCAAGCTCAGCTGAGGCTGGGTTTGGCGAGCTGATTTCGAATACATCCCCAAGGCCACCTTCTACTCATTTGATGTAAACATGTTTTTGGTTTGATGAAGGTGTCTCGCAATGCTCGTCTAAGACTGAAAGAGACAGAAGGCCAGACCGCAACCTGAGCCTTCAATCGCTTACACTTATTCGATATTTTAGTCTAGTTTTCGGAGTGCCTTTCAAACCAGCATCTTCTTTGCCACAGGGCCGCTGGCACTGGGCTCAGCCTTTGCAGGTGCACCTAGGTCATCAACAGCAGCCATTATCCGAGGCCAGCCTGGTGAGCTTTGCTCGCTATCAGATTGGCAGCTGCGAGGTGCCAATAATGAATCCACAGAGTTGAAGATGTTGAAGGAATGACGATACATCTTTTCCTGACCTTTCTTGGTCAGGAATTGATCACAATGCTTGGTCTTGGTGGTGGGACTTCTGAGGCTCCTCAGATTTATGGCTATTTTCTTGTTGCGAGCTGGCATTCACCCAAGGTGACTGTCTGCGATTTGGCTGCCAGATTGACCGCTCTCGGCTTCGATGGGGATGCGCAACACGCCGCTGTTCTTGCGGCTAGGCTTGTGGGCCCATCCAAAGATATACAAAGGGTCAGGGGATCTCTCTCGATTGCTGTGGGATGTCGCAGGTGTGATCGTGGCATTGGAACCAAGATCTCCGCACAGAAGCTGCTCAAAGTGCTGACATCCAATGCCAAAGGGACAAACGTAGACCAAGGAGGCCCTAAAGCCTAAAACACCAGCTTCGCATGTTTGCGCTTGGCTTGTGCCCTGCTGTTTGGGGCAGAGGCAAACACGATGCAGTGGTGCGTGAGGCCTGACGACTGGGATAATGGCATCTCCCACGGTCTTCATTCGGAAGCGATCCAGTCTCATCCTCGGATGTGAAAGCGACATGGAGCGTTGGCCATTGTCGCTGTAAGGTGCGCACCCACAACAAGCGTCCAAGAAGACAAGACCTGTCCCAGCTAAAGCAGCCCAACTGCAATGGCAAAGGACACACAGATGGTCATGGATTGTCAATGACTGGGAAGTAGAGAAGCACCAGTCTAAGAAGCTGAGGAAAAGAAGCCCTGGAACAGCACTGTGGCGGATCTATGCAACTCGCCAAGGGCTCAAGGGAAACATCATAATCGGGCGCTGTGCTGTTGACACCTGATTTTTCTAGATGCCTGAAAGGTCAAAGCTACATCCAAGCTTGCGCTGGACCTTCAATGACTTTGACCAAAAGCACCAGAAACAGAAAGAGGTGCATCATGGCATTGTGCTGGTCGGTGCTTTGCTGGGTCCACTCCGGCCATTCTAACAATCGGTGCCTTCCAGCTGGAGGCCAACGTACAAGCCATCAGGGAAGCTGCCCCCGGCCCAGCAAGCTGCAAGAGTGCTTGGCGAAGGGTGCACTTGACGAAGGCAAAGACATCTTCCAAGTTCTCGCCACCAACCCGGAGGCCACCATGGTGACCTAATTCATGAGAGAGGTTACAGTTTGAGTTGTGCTCTCACTCTCACTGTTGTTTTTGATGTCCTGTCCTGTGTTTGCCTGTGGTACTTGGCCAGAAGCTCATCATCGTCATCATCGACCAGATCACCTTCAGTTCTGTATGCCGCTGTCTCAGATGACGAGCTTCCAGTTTGTTGAACTCCCTCAGCCTGGTGTCATAGCCAAGGCCAAAAGGGAGTCTTGGAAATCTGGATTTCAAGCTGAATGCATTGAAACCACGCCAAAGCCCTTCAGGCCTCCCATGTTACTCCTCTTATCCTGAAGTCGTTGACACAGTTCGACCGACAGGACATACTTCGCCGAACACAAGCAGCACAAACCTGTACGGGATGAAGTGCAGACCATCCTGTTTTCAAGAAAGAAAGCCTCAGAGATGGCCACCACCCCGACAGAAGGCTGGGTCGGCGCATTTTGGCTAGTGCCCATCACCCAAATTCGCGAAAGGCAGTGTGGGCCAGAGATCGCCAGCACCTAGTCCGCACTGGAAATGTCCAAAGGCTGTATATAAAGGAATGTCAATATCGATTCGATAGGAGTTCTTTTGGGACCAGATCAGGCAATCCATGCAGAGCCTCTTTTCGTTTGACAGCTGAGGCAATAGAACGAGCTAGATCCGTCGGATGAGATGGGCACAAGTGCGCCTGATCTCCTTTAGACGGGTTTCACCCAAGAGGTTGTACCATATGTTTGGGGGGTGCTCAGCAACTCGTCCTTAAATCCTCAGTTTTTGCTTCCGGCAAGGCCAACGTGGTTTGACCACTTGCGTGTAATATCTAGTCTAACCTTTTCGTTTTGTGAAATTTGAGGACAGAGTTTGCTTTGGGTAGCCCTCAGGCTTTATGCTAAAACAAGCACGGCTCAAACGATGGTGTCCGTGCAAAAGCGCGCGCGGCGTTTTCCAAGAACAGACAAGCCATGCTGCAATTGAACCTCAGACAGAACATCCCTCTTTTTTTTCTCCTCGCAGAAGACGAGCTTGGACTTGGCCGCCCAAAGATGGCCGAGTTGTCGGGTCCTTGGCGTTGACTCTTGAACGGCTCCGGCTGCGCTCCGGCTTCTTGGGTCCTGGCAGGAATCTCCAACCAACACCTGAGAGCCCTGCTGAAGAGACAAAGCCAGTCAGGGGCATGTCAGGCGCAGACAGATGTTTTTCAGCCATGCCACGTCGGTGTGCGAGCTCTCCAGTTTTGCTGCGGCGAGGCTCGCAAAGTGAGTCTGAAGACGAAGATGTAGAGGGGCCTTCGGGAAAGCAGTTTGTACGCCGGTTCGAGCCCGAGAACCTCAGACATGTCCAATGCACGACCTATGCGTATGTACCTGTTCTAAGATTTGTTGAGGTACTCATGGAGTGTGATGTTCTCAGGTTGTGTGTGGAACCATGATGCTGTTCCACAGCTTGTGTAGAAGTGAAGTCCGAGGAGTACCCGACAACGCCGCTTTTTCTAGAGATGGCTGCCAACAAGCCCAAGGCGGAAAAGAAGCAAGAAAAGGAAAGACACAAGAACGTCTAAAGTCTAAAGGTTTAAAGAGAAAGGAAGAGAAGAAACGAAGAAGAAGAAGAAGAAGAAGAAGAAGAACAATAAGAAGAAGACAATGAATTAGGAGGAAGAAGAAGTTATATATGTTTTTCTAAAAATCTAGAAACCAAATGATTAGTGCGAGCGCTTCTTCAAGCAGGCTCCCCCGAATTGAGCTCCTTGAAGAAGCGTGAGCTATCCTGCGTGCTGTTCCTAGGAGCAAACTTCTCCTAGTAGCTTACAAGTTTCTCCCTTCCATCTACCGCCTACTTACTGTAATTGTAAAAATAGGGAGGGGGGGAGAAAGAAAGAGCACAAGAGGATGGCTCCAAAGATAGGATGCAGGCAGAGGTCTTGATCGGCTGATGGCAGGCATCTGGGACAGAGCCAAGGATCGGAATTGACATTGGTGGTGCACCGCGGCCGCATTGTCTTTTTCGTTTCTGTTTTTGTTTAGTTTGGACATTTTCTGTTTTTCTTCCTTTCCTTCCCTTTAGACTCTTAGACAAATTCTTTTCAGCTTGCTACTTTAAACTTTACTTTGATTTGTTGTACTTCCAAAACTTATGCTGACCCTGTGTAAGGTTCTCACAAGGGAAGGCGATCCCAGGTACAGGGGGTCGTACGATGAGTCATTGCCTCGGCGCACTGATTCACTGAGCCACATGGGGTGGCGCGACTTTCAGATCTCGCGATTCTGCGCCTTTTGTACCTGTAGCTTTTAGGTGGGACGAAAGTTGGGAGGCTGACGGCGCACTAGATTCAGCACTGGCGCTTAGATATCAGACATGGAGTGGGACACGTTCATGCAGCAGCGCATTGGCCTAGGTTCGGAAGATAGTCCAAGTTTTTGGGCCATCCAACACCTTCCTGGTGAGCAAGGCAAGCGAATGCCACTATATAATGCCACAGTCCAACCTAGAGACATACTTTTTTTTGTTTCTTCTCTCTCGCTCTCTCTCTCTCTCTTTGTGTCCCCCGCTGTGGGTGTTCATCTGAGCTCGCATCTGAAGCCTTTATTTAGGTTCGCCCTGGAGGAAAAATGCATCGGCGCATGGAGCTGTGGTGGCCTCAGCGGCTTCGCCACACTGCTCGCCTCACAAAAAGCGCCGAGGTGGCTCCACGAGACGTTGAATTTCTGCGAAGAGACGGGTTTGCTGAAGGAAAACATCATTTTCGTGCGGACTGTGGATGGGTCCAAGCCTCAGCCTCAAGCAACCTTGGCTATCTCAAGTGCACTCCTACCTGGATGCGCATGTCGTTCCGTGGAGGCCACAGGGAAAGGGCGTCGTTTGTGAAAAGCTTGGTATTTCGCACTTTGTCGACGACAAAATCGAGGCCAAGCCGTCGTCGCCTCGTGATTGATTGTCGGAACGACAGGGATGATAGCGTTTCGACGGTTATGCTAGAGCAGCTGCTAGATCGCCGCAATGTGTGTGTGTGTGTGCGCACGCGCGCTTTGATCCTTTTGTGAAGGTGCTAAAGTCAATCTTCGAAGATGAGGTGACGGACAAACAACTAATGTCATTGGGCGGCCTTGACAATGGGTGTCCAGTGTCGACTTTCACATTGCTGCTGAACTCAAGCTTTGCTGTTTATTGCTGGCAGCCCCACAGAACATCATTTGCCAGTGTAAGCATGAAGAGCAGCAGACAGAAACAGACGAAACCATACCGCGCAACATTGTGTGTCAGACAAAACATCAAGATTTCTGGAACTTCATTGAGCAATGACGGACGTGGCTACATTGCCCCACACAGAGGGGCGGCCCCCGCTTGAGCTTCCCATTCACAGAAGAACTGTGGAAGAGGCGCTGGTTGCAGCTTCCACAAGATGTTTTGAAAGATTCTGTAAGAAAAATCGAAGCTGCAGGATGTTGCGGTGCAGACTCCGCCCAACTCATTGGAACAACTTGCAGCAGAAGCTTCTTTGGAGAATCTGTGGCTTGGTGAATTAGCATCCTATTAGCACGGTGGCTGTGAGAGAGGATTTGGTTTCGGCGTCATTTGAGTTCGTTTGGCCCTGCAGGTCCCTTGACGATCAGATGGCTCGGCTTAACATTTCGCTGGAGGATGAGCCTGAAATGCTAAAGGCTGCCCTTCAGAATGGTTCCGCTTGATCATGCACATTTGGCCAGCGGATCAGCCTTTCTCTTCTTTGACGTTGGCCGAGGTTGTCCTCCGGCCAGTGCTAGGCTGCAAGATTGGAATGACGGCTTGGTACTGAGTTTCTTGAAGCAACATGAAGCAGTCGCAGCATGAGCCCTTATTGCAACAAGCTGACCGGCCAGTGTAGTGTTAAAATCAATGATGGAACACACTGGCCGGCACAGAGCGGGCCCAGGTGATGAGGTTTGCAGAAGGCTTCATTGTGACATCTATCCACGACAAAGGCATCGTGGCAAGTTGGAATGCGGCCCACCCTGGGCAATCATTAGAGGACAGGAACTGTGATAGGCCTAGTAGCACCGCACAACATATGTTGTTTGCGCTTCATTGCAGTGTTGGTCGCCGAAGGAGCGCGATCTCATTGTACAAATCAATGGTTCTGGTGAATACTTGCAGATGCTACATCACTTTCGATGCGCACCAGTTCTTTTGATGTTGATCCACCGTCAGGAGATCTCAGGGTTAGGCCGAGTTAGGCTTTCTCTTGCCTGTCTCACCAAAGATCTCTAATGACTCTAATTTGTTGCCATCGTCGCTGCTGGGCGCCTGGTGTCTTTTTACGAAGGTGTGGTATACCCACAACAGCACTTTTAGGAACCACAACAACAATCGCTTATCCCCGACAGGGAAACACTCTACCCCCCCGACAGGGCAACCTCGACACCCCACCAGCTCCAGCAGAAGCTCCGCAGCAGCCGCGTCCAGAAAGAGGCCTCAGAAAGAGGCGGGGATGGGGCGTCGCTGTTTGGGGGCCTATTGCCTGGATCGTGATATATTCCAGGCAAACGCTCTCATTTTGCGGCATTTTGAGGGTGTGGGCACTGTTTTGGGGCTGTTTGCCTGGAATATGACGAGCGCTTCCGCTTGGAAAGTGAGCGTTTTGATATGTGTATCTTTGTTGCCAGGAAGCAAATTACGGACCATACATAGTCTTTGTTGCCAGGCAAACGCTCTCATTTTGGCCTTTGGGGTTGGCGGAAGCTCTGTTTTGACAGCGTTTGCCTGGATTCACCCCCCCGACAGACAAACCCCCATATGGACCCCGACCCCAAGCAACCGAGAAGTGCCAGGAGCTCGAGCCGCCGATCGGTGCCGAGAAGTCGCTTGTTATGCTCAAAACGCATTTTTCACGTCTCAGAGGTTTTGATCTGCGGAGAATTCCAGTGATGGAATGATGGCCTCTTAGGAGATTCACTGGTATATTGGATTGGTTTGATGGCCCTCATTGTGGTGACTTGGGAAAGTTCATGGGGTCCTATCCGCCTACCTATCGCTCCGTCTTTCGCTCGTCCTCTCTTGACACGGTCGTTTCTCCGTGCCGGCCGTTCTCTCGGAGAAATCGGGGTTCGGGCGGGTGGGTGGCATGTCGCCGTTGCGTTTTCAGGTTCTTGTAGAACACTTTTGTCTTGTCGGACTGCATCACACCAAGGAAGCTGTGTTGGTCATCCGTTGCAATTTTGTCCAACATCTTCTCATCAGAGAAGGCGCTTAACTCTTCCAATATGGCTTCCAATCCTTTTGATTTCGAAGCCTGCAGATGAACAGCTGAGGGGCGTTCTTCCTGACCACTGGTGTGGTTTTGAGCCTGTTGCCTCAACATGTCATAAGTGCGAATGCCATATAATTTGGCACAAGCCTGTCTGTCGGGCGTTTACGGTGGCCATGGATGTGAGAAAAGTGTAACCGCAGCTTTGCTTTTTGGAGTGACTGGTGAACCGGATTCCTAGATTTTGAAGCTGCGCAATTGAACCAATTATTTATTTCTATCTTCCAGAGATAGACCAGTGTCTTCCCGCTTCCAGTGCAATCGACAACTGGGGAGATTTGTTTGTAGGACTGTGGAATGTTGAAGGTTGAGATATACCAAATGACTACCTTTCGTCAAGAGTAAGTGTTATTAACTCATTCTTTCTGACCAATCCTTCATTGTCCGCCCAGTCGTCCATGATTGCCAGGCAAACGCTCTCATTCTGGAAATTGGGGTCGGCGGACATTTTGTTTTGATAGTGTTTGCCTGGATTCGGGGACTGGCCTGTTGGAAATGAGATGGAACGCGGTCCCCGGTTGACATTCCGTGGCCGGGTACTTTTTCTTGTTTGTTGGGTGCGAGAATTCCTGCGGGTTGATCCTGCCAGGCAACGCCGCAGCGCCGCAACAGCCCCCACACTCGATAGAACCCCTAACCTTGTCGAGGGGCGCGGTCCTCTTTTTGTCGGGGCGCTGGTTTTTTGTTGTCGGGGAGGTGAGGTCATGGTTGTAGTCGAGGCTATAACACGGCCTCTGCTTTTTACTGTTTTTTGTTATGAAGAGGCGCGCTACGTTCGAATGGGTTGACAGGGCGGGGTGGGGGGTGTGGGGGGGGGGCTGGGATAATAGCACACCTGTTGCGTAGCGTTCTTCGTGTTTTGTTCTTTTTTCGCGCGGGTCACATACGTTTACGTTATATGCATGTACGTTTGCATTGCACACGCGCAGACACATGCGTTATGGGGCATGCGGTTCCGCACGACCCACACACAGCTGAGGCATATGCAGCACATGCTCACGCAACCTGCATGCTGTATTTGGCTCAGGAAAGACATGCCACAACCGTTGTTTCTTGTTTTTGGTGCGTTGCCTGGTTCTTTTGTTGCGGTTGGGGGGTTTTCTGGATATAGACGAGTTACCACCGGTTCTTCGACCTTGGTTTCGTGTTTTCACCCGGCATATCTGGACGACTTGACTCCAAGTTCGTACGGGGATCCGCTGGTAGGATTGACCATCGAGATAGCTTTGGACCAGGACGTTGGCGTGTGGAACTTCAGGGTTTGATGGACTGCGCAGAAATTTGTGGAGTCCGTGGCTGCCTGTCTGTTTGGGAACATCACTTGGAGACTCGTGAGCGTTTGTCACCTTTGTCACCTTTAGTTTGAGCGTTGTTTTTTTCGAGACGATTCCTTCCGGGGGGCGGAGGTTGAGATGCGTGTGTGGCAATGGGTGTTTCGAAGTGAAAAGTTGCGTGGAACACCGGCGGGGAACGTGAAAGTGCTCTCCAAAATGCGGAACGGGAAGTGGCGAAGTGGTTTTCGAAAGTGCACGAATACAGACAGACTCTCCTGTCAACAGTCAGGCCGGTTTGTAATTGCCAAAAACAAGGCGCGCATGTGAACGCCGCAGTCTGACTGGGGGCGTGACAACTGCAACCCCGAAACGACCAGGCGCCTGGTGGCGTCGTTCCCAATTTTGTAGTTGAATTTTTCAGAGACCGGCTGACAGCAAGAATCTCATGAATCACATAAAGTTTCGGACGTTGCTATATATGTATATAGACCTAGGGTGTTCCTTTGTGCCATAACGCTGTCGCAGCAGGCAGCATAAACAGCACACTGTTTCACCTACCGCCCTGCTTGGAGGAGCCGTTGAAGACCCTCAGTTGCAGATGTTGGAGTGGAGACCACAAACCTTAATAGCACGATGCTTTGCAACACATGAATGCCAGGTCTTAACCTTTCAGTCTTGATACCCTTTACTACTTGGATCGCATTTTTAAAGAACCCCTGAACCTGCTGGCAGTTTGGCGGTGTATCGACTGTTGCATCATTTCTGCCTGGAACAAATCCAAGGTCACGGCAACTCCCGCAAGGAGCTCAGTTCGAACCCAGGTCCGGGAAGGAAAGCAAGGACAACTTCGTTTTGGTGCCTTGGCTTTGGCAACGGCCCGTCCAAAGCTGCTTTAGTCTTTCGCCTACAACGTTCATCCCGGTCTGCCTGGTTTTTGCTGAAGTGCCTGTGAATTCAGGAGTCTAATCTGGCTTTGCGCAGCATCACTGAATGCGCTGGAACACATCCAGACGAGGTGTGGAAAGCAGCAGCCCTTTGCGTGGTGGAGCACTTTGTGCAACAAGATCCTTTCTTCCTCAGCCTTTATGGCTACAAAGCGCTCACGAGCAAAATGTGGAGCCCACTCAATGAGGGCTTGAAGCCGAGACTCAGCCTGAAAGTCTCTCAGCACATCGAGCAGGCAGGCCACACCTGGTACATCGTCGAATGCGAGCTGCTGGCACTGTCAGGGGAGCAGGAGTCTCGGCGTTCCAAAAGTCCAACTGCCGCCGGGTCAAATGGTCAAACTGATTTACAGGACCGGGACGGGGTAACCTACCCACCGCACCAGTGAGGAGATGGCATTGAGATGGGAGTCTCCGAGAAGACTGTCCCAGCTGCGCGGAGAATTGCATGACCGAATCAAGTTCACCATGGACTCAGCTGAGTACAGATCACTCTTCGAGGATGCACCTTTTGCACACTCGGGTGGTTGCTCGGTGAAAAGCCGGAAGAATCACGACCGGGATTCTGTTCAGTAGAACACGACCAAGAAACAAGCCCTTTACAGTACGGTTTTGACCGCGCTGATGACATGAGGACCCAGTGGCACCACAACACGCTTATTTGTTTGGCTGTCGCGCTTAGCGGCTTTGGTGAACAAGCAGGAGGTGACGCCTGCTGTGGCAGCGTTGACACTCAGCTTCTTTCACGCCCCGTCCCTTGGCCAAGCCACAGTGAGGTAAGCCACTTCGTATTGACTTCAGATAACAACATTTTGCAAAGCCACTGATGAGTGATCTAAGGCTCTCATCTGCAGTGCAAACACTGTTGCCACGGAACAGTGACGCTGGACGCCCCCACCCCGCAACATGTCAATGTTGTAGGGGCTAGGGGCTAGGGGAGTCTTTTGAAAATATGCGGCTTTGCGGCCTGCACGCATCTCACACGCACGTTGCACATCGTTTGATTTTGTGCGTGCTAGTGCTAGGCTGCATGTTCTGACAGGCTGGCAACAGTCGCCACCTGGTCGAGCGCTATCAGGCCAGTGCACCACATTCATGAGCAACAAGGTTTCTGTGTTCGACTTTTTGTTTGAACCGCGAGTTCTGGAATCAGGGACTGCTGTTCCACTTCTCCAAGGGCGGGTACTCTCAGGCTCACTCACGTGGGCTTTTTGGTAGTAGTGCAACCATGCCATTTTTTGTAGGCGCAAGCTTCAACCTTGTGGGCATTGCTTGATGGAATGGGAGTGTCAAGTACCTGAAGCTGGACTTGGTATCGTCCAGATTGTTGTAGATTAGGATTACACTATAGGACCATTAGGATTCACCCAGAACTTTAACTAACAGGATCTCCATGCTTGTAGTTTTGAGATCCAACCGAAAAAGAACCAGTAAGACGGCGAGCCTTCCATGAACAGGTGCCTCCGTCGATTGATACAAGCCAGCTAGCTCCCATCATGCGGCGACACTACAGGCGCTCCTGCGCTGTTATGACCACATTGTATGAGCAGGTGATAGGCCCCAAACGGATGTATGTTGATGATCAAGGACGCTAATAGGGCATCGCTACTAGTAGGAAGGGCATTTCTACTAGTAGCAAATATAGCTACTAGTAGCGAAGGGCATCACTACTAGACCCTTACTTGGGCCAATCACACCGGCTTGTTTTTGTGCCACTCCAGATATATGTTTCCAGCAAACAGGCCGGCAGCAAATTGGACACAGGCGCATGTGCCTGCTTTCATGTCGTCAACACTACCCGTATCCTGTTTGCAATGTCATACTTGAGACGAAAGGTCATCGAGCAACTGCGGGAAAAATTGCCCGGACAGCTTCATTCGTCACTTTCCCAGAGGGAACAGAAAAAGAAACACACTGTACTTTGTGTGAGTGTTCCCACTTATTGCAGCAGGATGTTGTACCAACTCAGGCGTCGGGAGCTTCTGACGCCTCCTGTCATTAGGTTCGCCCAGCTTGTAGACTCACCCACCCTTGACTGCTCAGGCCTTCCAAGTTTCACCTCGTTTCACCAGTGTCACTGCCAGGCCGCCAGAGCCAGTAATGATGAGAGTTGCAGCCCCAGCTGTGAACACGGTACCGCCGGGAGTTCTGTGTGTTCTTAGTGCAACTTGTTGGACTGATGTGCAGGCAGAAACACGCCCACCAGGTCCTTGGGAGAAGGCGGCGTATGACAAGCAGTGCTTCTATGTTCGGGGTAGCAAGTCAATCCACAGGTATCTCAGAGCACCTCCAACAATCCAGAGCACAGAGCCCAGACTCTTTGATTTGAACCTTGTAGAGCCAATTCAGACTGCTAACCAACTGAGGCGAGCGCTGCAATGGTCAACTGATGGCAGGCCCAAGCTTGTGGGAAGCTCAGTGAGCTGAAGCACTGCGCAGCCAGTTTTCCTCTCTTTTCTTTTCTCTCAATGCCTACCCTTTGTCAAATGATGGGATTGGGTTGTCATTTCACTGTGTTCGAGAAGGAAAGGAGACACGATCTGTCCCTTCTTGATCAGCCTTGCTTAGGTCTTGAAGCCTCGAAATCCTGCACTGGTCAGTATCACAGACAAATACAGACAAGAACATTTTCTCTTGAACAAAATCTGTTACCGCTATTGCCCTGAGGCTGCGCCGATTGCAACTGCCCCCTCGAGCACACAACAACCACAACCGAAACACACCATGAAGTCGCCAGAAATCCCACTGCGTCCGCAGTCCCAGCTGCAGCCGCAGGTGCAACTGCAGTCCCCGCCACAGGCACAACCCCAGCCCCAGACGCAAGTGCAACATCCAGCCCGACCCCAGGTGCCGCAGGTGCAGCAGGTGCAGCAGGCTTCGGCCCCTCAAGCAGATGCACCCAAGCCAGCTTGGTCACAGATAGTCCAAGGCCTTGCCGCTGCCCCAGTCCAACAGGTTCTAGTGTCCCAATCCAGGCAGCGAGCCAACACAGCTCCAAGCCCGACGAACCTAGCACCAGCCGTTCCAATGCAATGCAAACAGCAAGTGCCGGTCCAGAGTGTGGGTTCACAGCAACGAGCTTGCTCCCCGCCCGTCACGCAGACACTGGCTGCTTAGCTGCTAAAAGTGGATTTCAAGGGTCGGAAGCTTGCACCTGCCAATCGAGACGCTTTTTCCTTCTCAGGTGGTAGGTGCGGTGCAACAAGCTGTGCAGCACGTTCCCAAGTCTGAAATTTGGTTGTGGGAAGAATTCGGAAGAACCTGGTGACCTGGTGTCATTCTTTTCATTCACAAAATTGATCAAAATTGTCATTCAGTACTTGTTTGTGGGCCACCAAGCCGCTCAGGAATGGGGTGGTATCTCCCAGTGGCCGTCCAAAGCTTCAGTTGAAGCCGCGAGACCCAAGGCAGACGTTGACTTCTTTCCGGCGATGTGAGAGACTGGTTGCATGGCCTTGCTTTGATGTCAGGCTTGGACCTCCAGGACAAGCAGGAGACTCATGGTGACTCATGGCTTATTCCATGAGCTCATTGAGATCCTGAGGCTGCCAGTGCAAATGCACCCGTGGAGCAATCACAGCCCGCTGAACCACCACCTGCTGCGCTCTGATTCTTCCCATTTGTGATATCTCGGGAGAGTTTGTAGAACGTCTTGGAAAGTTGAAGCAACAACCCGACCAGAGACCAGAGTCGCAAGTCTCGCAGCAGAGGCCCAACCTGCAATGCAGCCTGACCCAGCTGGAGGACGGCCCAGGCAAGCATGAGAACGTTTACGTGAAATACAGGATGAACTGCTTGACACCAAGCTTTGCAGCAGGTTGGTTCTCAAGAAGCGAACCGAACCGCCACCAGCTGTGGCATCAGTGAACCCAGCGGCCGTACGTGTCCAGGCCTCAGCACATCCAGCGACGCTGCCTGCTCGTTTTGCGATTCGGATTGAACTCTGTTCAGGTATCCTCTCCACCTGCGCGACCTGCTGCGAGCTTGGTCAGATGGCCAAAGCTGGCGAGCTAGGACACACTTCAGCTTACATCCGGTGGTTCACAGGTCAAACCACAGCCCAAAATGCTCAAGCCTCACCAACTATATGACAAAAAAGACGCAGGGAAGAAGGAATGGCCAGTAGTACAAAACAAGTGGCACAGCTGTTCGGCAGAAATACCAGCAATTCCTTAGAACAACTTCCGTCACCTGCCACTATTGCGATGGAGGGGTCAGATCAGGAGGAGCAGCCTGAGCAGTTGATTCTTCGACGCAAGGGGTTGACAACTTTGCAGATTGACCTTTTGCAAGTGGGCAATCTGCGGATCTTGTCGGCGTCGCACAATGCACTTGTTGACATCACAGCAGTGGCTGATTTGCCAGCCCTGGAGGAGCTGAACGTCAATCACAATCAGCTTACAGATCTTTCTCCTGTGGTGGAGTGTGGTGCGTTGCGAGTGCTACTAGCTGCCAATAACCAAGTCAGCGAGGTTGATGGATTGGACAAATTGCCTAGCTTGCAACGCCTGTCTCTCTTCCAAAACGTCCTTCCTGACCTGGACCTGGCGCTGGCCACCCTACAGGCCTGTCCTCAGTTGGAGTCCATTGATTTAGGAGGCAACCCTTGCTTCCAAGATGCTTCTCATCGCCATGGCCTCTTGCGTGGCTTGCCTCGTTTGCGTGAGTTGGATGGTGAAGTCATCACGAATGTCGATCGACAGCTGGCGGCCGAGTTTTTCCTTTGCGCCGAGGAGTTCGGGTTTGAGGAGCGTCCTGGAAGTTCCTACGGCTTGCGGCCGAAGACGGCGCCAATGGCTCCAGTGAAGACCGAGAGAAGCTCGAGGAGCCAGTCGCGGCCACGCTCCTCTCGGAGAGGATCACGCAGTAGCTCCAGAGCTCGATCGAGATCGCCTGACAAATCTGAAGTGTGGGAAGCACCAACGATCACCCAGGACAAGCAGGAAAGTCTTGCACGCTTCCAGCAGTATGTGCAAGCTTTGCAGCTTCGACTGCAGACAACCCAAGTTGACTGTGGGAATCTGACTCGACAGATCCAGCAACTTCGCAAGGATGCCCAGGAGCCTGTTCTGGGAAGCGCTGCGCTCCAAAAGAGACTAGCCAAGCTTGAAGAAGAGAATTTGTCCATGCACTCCATGGCTGAAGAAAACCGCAAGATGCGCTTGGAGGTTTCAGATTTGGAAGCTCTTCTCTCCCAGAAGCGTCGCTCTTTGGGACTGCCTGAACGGCCAGGCACCAGATCTGGCAGACCCGGAACGGCAGCAGTAGAAGCAGTTCTGGGCATGTCAGAGCCCAGCACACTGGAAGGTTTCAAATCCAAGTGCCGATTGCTGAAGAGGGAGTTGGAGGCCGAGCGTGAGCGTACCAACGACTTGAGGGCCAAAGCTTGCTCTCGTGTCCTGGGCCGAACGGTGAGTCCTCCGAGAGCCGGCTAGGGCTTCGAGATGCTTCGAAGCCTCGGCGGTGCAAGGCGGTGCATGTGTTGATTCCTTTGAAACAGAGGACTCAGCTACACGGGAGGCTTCAAAGTGTGAAGCGACCAAAAAACCTCAATTTGTTTGTCTCATTCTGTGTCTAATCACATGCTATTGGCCACTTGTAGAGTGTTCAGTTCCGTGTGCTGTATTTTCTAATTCTTTGCAACACTTCCATTTAAGTGGGATGGCTGGCATTGAGGCTCCTGCACAGACGGCTCCTGCCTCAGGGGAGGTAAATGTTGAGGGGTTGATTCATGGTGTGGTCTGGATGTGGTAGCAGGTAGTCTACACATTCGCGCGCCACTTGGCCAAGGCATCTCCAGGAATGCGCCCAGCACCTGCACCAGCAGTTCCACCGTGCTCAGCTCAGAAATTCCAGTGGGAGTTGGCCCGTCCATGAGCAGTTCCACCGTGCTCAGCTCAGAAATTCCAGTGGGAGTTGGCCCGTCCATGGGAATATTCTTGATGCAAGGCCTATGCCCAGTCAGGATGCAAGTCTCTCAGCCTGGGAAACTAGTCGTATTTTTTGCTGGATGCTTTGCACGCGTTGTCAAATTCTATCAAGGCCACCCATGGGTGATGCTCTGAGCAATGAAGCCGCACAAACGTGTTGAGCGCGAAGCATGATCCAGCAGCGTCAGACTCTGCAGGTCTTGCGCGAAAGCACCCGCAGCATTGCAGAAGGACGGGCTGGTTCTTCCTTGTCGCTTCGGCTGCGGCTGGTTCTTCCTACTGACTCGTAGGATCCTGCTGGTGGACGCCCGCGCTTGGTGTTAAAGCCGCGCACGTCTGTGAAATGATGTCTCTTGGGCGATGAGCCCAGCTGTTAACACAAGGCCAGTCGAGAAGACTACGCCTAGTTTAGCTACCGTTTGAAAAAAGGCAATGCGTTCTGGTTGGACAATCCAGCAGGACCTGGCACTCGATTATTTTTGACACTGGAAGCTAGATTCTTCATCCCAGTGTCGATTTCAAATCGGTTGAGTCGCCTTCACAGCAAAATCGATCACGAGAGCGAGAGAGAGAGAGGCCGGGCAAGTTCTTGACCCATTGGAGCCCTCAGCATCGATGCTGAAGAAACGGCGATAGGGCTGGGATCCTCTTACACAGCAACAGAATGTGCAGAAAGCCGACAATTATATATATATATATATACACACACATATATATATAATATAACCCTGGCGATCAGGACTGCATTTACTGAGGCATTGCCAACATATATTGGAAAGGTCACTTGATTGAAAGACTGCCAAGCGGTGGCATGTTGGCTCAGAGGTTTGATAGGGTTTGTTCTAGCTGGACGGAAGTCCGCGGTGTCTTCTCATGGCTGCCCTCCCCCTGGAAGTGACCTTGTATCATTATCCCCGAACGCGCTCAACTCGAGTGCTATGGTTACTTCATGAGCTGGGAGACAAGGTGAATGTCACTTGCAAGCGGGTGGAGCTGATGAAGGGAGAAGCGTATTCCCCGGAGTTCATGAAAATGAACCCAAACCATGCTCTACCGGTCCTGCTCTACAAGGATGCATCTGGTGAGGATCAAGCAGTTTTTGAGTCCTGCGGAATTGTAGAATTCTTGACAGAGGCATTGGCTGCAGGGCAGCTTGCCCCACCAATTGGCCTTTCGAAGGAGCGCGCTGATTACCAGAAGCTTTCCACATTAAGTCTGAAGATTCATTTCAGTCCAAAGCTGGACGTGTTTTTGGGGAAATCACTTCATGCAACCCACTCACAAAATTTGTTTGATCTCCTCCTTGTTGGTTTTGCTGCACCAAACTTTAATTCCAATCATACGGGGTCGTTCCAAAGTTTTCACCTAAGGAAATGGCTGTGGTTCTCTGGAAGTTGGATGGACCAGCTCTTGTGGCAGCTCCGCCAGCATGACTCCAGTGGGATTCTTCCTGCGGATCAGAAAGACAGCCGTGTAGTCGATCGGACCAAAGCAAAGTGGATCAAGGACTGTCCCTTGGAGTCCTTGCAAGGAATTGCTCTGCTTAACTTGGAGGCATCATGTGTATCAAGATATTGTTTGAGAAGTGGGCAACAGAGATATGATGCATTATGTATTTTTGATCATAGCTATACATTTAACATATCCAGCATGCAACTCAATAAGCAAGGTTTCCTTGCAAGGGCACAACAGTGCACAACTTTTTTTTTTTGCAAACTGGGGCGAGGTTAAAGAACTCCGCAAGCACGCCATCGACTGCATGTCACCATGTAGTTACTGTAAGTGCCATAAGCAAATAAAGTATAACAAATTTGTGGCTTTGCCTGTTGTGCTTGGACTCTAACGGTTTTAGGGGAGAGGGCAGCACACGTAGGGCAGTTCAAACGCTATAAACATGGGATTCTCCACAGAGACCTGTTCCCACTTGGCTCAACGCTTCATGACTCAGGAGATAGAACCTCAAATTGTGGCTCAAATAGAGGCAGCGTTGCTTGCTAATTGGTATGGATTGGCAGGGCGGCCCCTGCAATACCAATAGTCAACAAACATGTGGTGGTCATTGGACTTGATTATGACAAAGGTGGACACAAGGTGCTGACCCAAAGTGGCCTTTCCTTTGCGTTTGCTTCGAAAGTTCCAACTTCAGAATGGCACTGAAACATCTGAAGCTGTTGATGTGCTGCATCGCTGTTGCTTGGGTGGTACTTAGTACTTTTGACCAGCACTTCGCCTATCAACTGCGGTCAGGCAACAGGCAATAAGTACCTCCTTGGTGAGCAGTTCACATCTGCGGACGTCATCATGGGACATAACCTCAAGTGGAGCCAAGCATATGGACTCTGTGAAAGCCAGGCGGGAAGTGGACATGGACATGGAGCCTTTTTATGGACAGGTGTGGCATTTGCAGCTCTGATTTTGATGGCTCTGGCAGCCTGGGCACGAAGCCAACAGGATAGGATGTAGTAGTGAGTCTGAAGCAAGGATCACGGAGAAGACTTGTGTCGAGTGAAGAGTTGACCAACGGGCCATTGGATTGATTATATTAGCCCAGAGAAGGTACATGGAGTGTGAGGCTTAGGCCGATCATACTTGCGAACATGTTCTATTTTCCATCAATCCAAGTCACTGGGTGTTGCCATGTTGCAGGTCTTGCTTGACTATTTAGCACGCCTCGCAGAGAGGCCTGAGAGATTTTGGAAGTATGGCTGCTTAGATGTTGTCACGCAACTCCAAGAAAGGTAAAGGTCAGGATGAGTATCCATGGCTTTCCAGCATTCATGCAGTTCTTGGTCTTTACTTTGATGAGTTGGTGTCCCAAGATCATATCGGAGAACACCCCGCATAGCATGCATTCCTTTGGACCGCACAGCAGGCCTGCCTGGCAAGCAGCCTGGGCAGATGCGGCGACATTCGGAAAGTAGAGATCCATGCAGAAACACCGGCGCAGCGATTCGATCGATCCTGAGAGTACGGATTTGCAACACTGCCAGGCTAGCCTTTGAAAGGCAACTGGATTTGTAGCACAGGCTTGGCGCAGCCAGCGAAGCCACCCAGGTGACCTCAAAGCAAGGGCGCCTGGGGGCCGCAGGTAGCAAACCTGTGGGAGAGCAAAGGTTAAATGCCGTCGAGGTTGCAATTGAGACACTTACCGTAGTGAGCCATGCGATTTCATCGATTGCATCCATGGACATGCTCAGAATCATGGCTGAAGCTACCACATGCACGGATGAAGTTGGCTCACAAAACAAGAGCAGCAGAGCAGCGCACAGGAAAGCGGGAGCACATGGACCCTCCAATCAATGCCATGAGAGCTGGACTGAATCAGAGCAGTGCAAAACTGCAAAAACACTAATTTTTCTCTCTAGGTGTGTACTGTTGTGGTACGGAACGAATCACAGGCGTGGAAGGAATGAGCAAGACAATTAAGACTGTCACATCATCCACTTTCGTGATTCTCACTTTGAACCACAGGCCAGGGACTGCTGAGAATGTGAGATGTTTATTGCAAGGCCTGAAGTTTGCAGTTTCAGGTGGCATGGTCAAAAACGGTGACGCAGCTGAAGGCTTGTCGTGTGGCTTTTGCAGGGAATGCCGCTTGTCCCATCCACCGCTTGTCACATTTTGCCAAATGCCTACTGTAAACTCTGAGCAGGCAACGATGCTTCTGCGGACGTGTTATGCTCGGGAGTGGAGGATTTGAGGGGTGTTTGGGGTCCGATGTTCATGCTTTTCTGTGCATTCTGGCTATGATGTTGTTGCCGCCTGTCGCAGCATATGCCTTTGGCATCAGCCTTTTTGTATGATGCTAGTCCGCAAGGCAAAGCAAGGGAGTAAGACAGTAAGTCGGAGGCGAACGAAGTGTGAAGAGCCAACAGTGAGGGCCGGGCTCAAATCAGTTTTCACCAAGTTCAAGTCGACATTGTTGCAGCTTTTGCAGCCTGCAAAGCGGAAATGTGGTTGACTGCAGCATAGCATGGACTCCTCAGAGCTCGTACCTCGCGTGCTTGCCATTTACTGGCCCCTGCTGCTGGGCTTGAGTTTGTTTTCTCATCACCGAGTTGTTGAATGTAACATTACAATGGAGATCCATGGAGTAATGCTGACTGCTGGTTTGAGGAAGCTGAAAATCTTGAATTGGCAAGGCGATGAGGTGCCCATGTCGCTGAATTGAGTGATGCACACAAGGCACACAACTCAAGTGACATGAGAACGTTCCTCCTTTTGCAAGGAGCAGTGGCTGGACGGGCCGAGTGCGTTGACAGGGCAACCGCGTCGGATACCTTGGGGCGTCTCGACTCGGATTGGCCACTGCCATTGAGAATTGCTTTGCGTGGGCACCTTGCAGGCAGAGAAGTGCTGGTTGAGAAGCGGGACTTTGCCGGCGCAGCGCTTGTGGCTGGTGCACCTGGGCAGCAGGGAAGAGACTTCCAGGCCCACCTGCGATTGACAGCCGATCCTAGTTGGTGTGCTTAAGTTGCCTTTGAGAGACCTTCCCCTTCTGCATGTGTACGAACAGTTTGGCACCCCTGCGAAAACACACACACACACACACTTAGATTGATGCTCGCAAGAGCTGAGTCAGTGAAGGTAGCCCACTCTAGCGATTACACTATCGGTGCAGTAGACCTTGACTTGCAAAACGGTAAGGTGGAGAGGTCCGCTTCAACAGTATTGTTTAACCAAGGTGAGACGG